GCACATACGTAGACAAGCACACAGCCACCCACACACATATATACATATACAAACACACACACACACACACTGAGAAACACAAACAGTCACACATACAGATACAAATGGAAACACTCACACACACATAGACACTCATGCACAGACACATAAACACAGACACACACACACACACAGACACGCACAAAGACACACGCACTGAGATTAATTGGAGATACGTTCAGTTATAAGGAAATAATCAAGTAACATAAAGTGTATTGATCGGCATTCATAGAAACAAGTAGAAAGGTAGAAGAACACACTAGACAACATAAAATTCGAAAGTTAGGAATTGAACCTGTCACCTCCAGAGGAGGTATGCGCTTCGCCATGGATACAAGTGCACTAAAAAACATGGTCAACTAAGCACCCCCAAAAAAGGTGTCTTATTGGCCATATCTATCGTACAGCTTGAAATCCACAACTATGGAATACGGACACAATTCATTTCAAACCATTGAAATGGCACATAAAAAGGTTACAGAAATTTATATTAACGAAGCAAATGTCGAATAACAATCACAGCAACAATTTACGAACACAGTAGACCTTAATGCTTTGTCTAGAATAAAAAAAACATTTAAGAAAGGTATTTGATTGGTAGATTGCGGTCTGTATACGTCATTCCTATAAATAATTCCTATAATAATATAAATATTTTTTTATAGTTATTAGGAAAAGTTTCTCTAAGTCTGTCAGCATCCGAGCAGGGAACACAGCTGCAGCCGATGAAGCACTCAGAGCCATGGGGTTAACAGGCTAACATGGCGGCTCATTTTACTAGGACTTTACCGAATAGTGATTTTCACTATTCGGCCGAATACGAACAGCTGGACCAACTATTCGGCCGAATACGAATACAAATAGTGAATCACCATCATCAGGTGCTTTGCCGACTGGCATTGCCGATTATACCTCACCACAATCTGCGATCTCCTGCAGCATGTATTAGTTCGTGTGCTGACACACCTCCATGCCATGCAACAAGACTGTCAAGAATCTTCTCTCGTTATCTTCCTCTATCCCTTCTTCCACATATCTTTCCAGTGGTCACCAAATGTTCCATTCTTCCTCATCTTATAACATGGCCGAAAAATGATGACTGTCTCCTTCTGATGTCTGTAAGTGGTTGTCCTTGGGCTCCCGCTTCTATTAAAACCTCTTGGTTGCTTTTTTCATTTGGTTGTCCAAGGTATTTTAAGCATTGTTCTGTAAAACCACAATTCTGAGGCCTCAAGAAATTGTTTGGCCTTCCTACCGATTGTCCAGGACTTCCAGCCATATGTTAAAACTGGATGTACGTAGCAAGCAAGAATTATTTTTCTAACCTTCAAAGATAAAGATATATTGCATAAGATGTTCTTCATTTTATAAAATGCAGTTTTTGCCTGTCCTTTTCTGTTTCTTATTTCAGTAATGCATCTACCATCTGATGTTATCCATGTGCGCAGATAGTAAAATTTATGTACTTGTCCCACACACACAAAAAACATTGACTTTTATTACACATTTAGGAATAATTATTATCTTTGATACCACCATTACTTCTGTCTTCCCACTATTCAAACTGAGGTCCATTCTTCTTCCACTTTCGTGTATGAAATAGATCTAAAAAAAAAAAAAAAAAAACACACACACACATCCATAATGTCAAATGTACGCTGTAATTTTACTTCACAAAATGTTGTACAGAATAGTAAATATTTAAAAACATTTCATATTTTGCATCCTTCAGTCAATCAGTCTGTGGTAACTAATTCCTAGGAGTGAAAGTATTCTTAGTTTTAAAACAAGTAACTAAACTTGTAAATTGTCACTGACAGCTTAGTTAATCCATGAAAGCGGCATTGTCTCACTGAATGTAATTCCAGCTGTACTAAACAGACGTTCACTTGATACGCTCGTAGGTGATGCACAAAGATAACGCTTGACAGTATGAACCAAGGTGGAAAATCTTGATATGTTTATTTTCTACCTTTCCAGAAACGGATGTAAGGTAACCACTATTCGTATTCGGCCCAACCGCAACTATTCGGCCAAATACCGAATAGTTATTAGGTCCACTATTCGGCCCCGAAGCGAATACGAAGCGAACATTCGGTACAGCCCTACCTTCTAACTGTTTCAAATTTTCGAAATGATGGGTTAAAAACGATCTTGGCTGCCAGGTCGACTCAGCCTAAAATATGTTCCATGAAAATACTGGAAAAGTAAAGGCGACCAGTGTGGTGTTGAAACAATACGCCCATAGCATGTCAACTGGTCAGGAATAAAACAGATACTGACGCAGCTGAAAACTACGTTAGCGAATGAATCACGTCCTGGTGTGCCGTGCAGGTGAGCGTTGCCACGTCACATAATCATCAAAATCATGGATGAGTTCAATGATTTTGTCTCGCCCCATCCTTCATGCCAGATCATCCCGACAATTAATCTCGTTACCATCCTCTTGCCCTCTTTCTGTCAATCATGCTACTCATTACCAAGCTCTCAATTATCTTCCTTCCCACAATATGTCCCAAAAATTATTCACTGTCTTAGTATAATTGTTCTAACAGGTTTACGCTTTTGAACTGTCTCGACTAGAACCTCTTCAATTTTTTTTCGATTGCTGTATGATATTTGTAGTTTTATGAAACACCAGATCTCTGCAGCGAGTAAATATTTTTGAGGTTTTTTGCATACTGCTCATGTTTGACACGCATATGACAACACACGTTTTAAATAACACGCTAACACTCTTTTTTTTCTCTCTCTCTCACTGCAACTGACATCTTCTTATTGGTGAGAATCTTTTGCATCTTGCCAGAGACCATCTTTGCCATGGCGATTCTTGTTCTAATTTCTGCAAGGTATCTTTCATTTAGATGTTATGACTGTTTCTAAATACAAAGGCGTGTGACGCATAAAAATAACCTCTAGTTTCAGTCAGGTCATTTAGTGGCTGACCGATAGAAAGTGTTCACTGTAGCAGCATGAGTACAGAGAGATAGTCTTGAAATATCAATGGACAATGTCTCGATTACACAATAAGGTTCAGTAAATTGTGAAAATGTGTTCCAGTAAAGGGTGTTTGGTCATTGTTTCCACCCAGGATGACTGTTAGAAGAATTAACAACTCACGTAAGAGAATCAGGATGTTTCTCGTATGCCTGTATGGTTTGATAAAGAACTAACTCTGTTGCTACTCACTTTAACGACCTCACTTTACTCACAAAATAATGTTTAAAAAATAAAAAGAATTGTGCCTTTTCGTTCCATATCATGGACAATTTTAAAACAAAAAAAGAACACAATAGAGAATGTAATTTAAATTTTACGCTTACACAATTTGTAAAAAAAATTATGGATCCGAACAATGGATGTTTATTTAAACAGCAAAATAAAATAAAAATAAAAAAAAAAGAAACCATCTTTGTCGTGGAAAAAAATACTTCGACTTTCCTAAAGCCGCAAAGATTTTGACAAAACAATATGGTTTTTGGATAAAAGAGGCATCGGTCGACCAGGACAAGTATTTATTCGGAATAATGGAGAACCCGTTTGGCATGATAATAGACAAGGCAGGTACTATGCAAAGTGCGACATTGTCACCAATGAGATGGGAGCAACATACTGTAATGTAACAAGTAAATCAACATTTCTTTCTCCACCTGTTTCAAGCAGATACCGGGTGTACGTTCTCTGTGGGAGTATTTCATTTCTCTGTTTAATCCTCCAACAGTGTGACATTTCCCTGTGTTGGCGTGTATCATTGTGACATTTCCCTGTGTTGGCGTGTATCATTGTGACATTTCCCTGTGTTGGCCTGTATCATTGTGACATTTCCCTGTGTTGGCATGTATCAGTGTGACATTTCCCTGTGTTGGCATGTATCAGTGTGACATTTGCCTGTGTTTGCCTGTATCATTGTGACATTTCCATGTGTTGGCATGTATCATTGTGACATTTCCCTGTGTTGGCATGTATCATTGTGACATTTCCCTGTGTTGGCATGTATCAGTGTGACATTTGCCTGTGTTTGCCTGTATCATTGTGACATTTCCCTGTGTTGGCATGTATCATTGTGACATTTCCCTGTGTTGGCATGTATCAGTGTGACATTTCTCTGTGTTGGCCTGTATCAATTTATCATGTCTCTGTATCAGTCTGTATTAATATAATATTGTCTTTTTCATTCTGCACTAATGTGCTATTTGTCCATGTGAGCATTTAACAATATGATATTTCTTTGAAATAACTCACAGTTTTTACCCTCCATCTTGCAGGCTGTAATGGGTTTTCGATGGCTGGCATCTACCTGTCCCAACGTGAAGCTTCTAATCAAATTAGATGACGACGTCTTCATCGATGTCCGCAAGTTTTTCACCAATTACTGGGAGAAGGTAGCTAGCAACAACAAGAAACGTACCATCCATTGTCTCGTTTGGCACAATGCTAGAGTCGGAAGAACTGGCAAATGGAAGGTTGAGAAAGGGCTCTTTGCCAACGCTAGCTACCCGTTTCCATACTGTGCAGGATTTTTGACGCTAGTGACGCCAGATCTAATTGAGCCAATGTACACATATGGCAAATCGATTGATTTCTTCTGGATCGATGACGTCTTCCTCTACGGGATGATACCTTCAGTTATCCAGGGAGTCAATTTCGTTCAGCTAGGTCACAATCCCAGAGTGATGACCCAAAATTACAAAGAATATAAACAGTGTCGGGAATCCAAGGGTGTTGATAAGTGCCCACTGTGGGCCACTTTAACAAACGGAGAAGACGAAATTGACCAAGAGTTTGCAATCATTTCTGCTCCAAAACCTGTATTTGACAAAACAGTGACAACCAAAAAACAGTATTCGAAAGACAATAAACAAACTGGATTAATTATAACAAGCAATTTATCTCCAGTAAATACTCAACAAAAAAATTTACCATCAATCAATAAAGTATTTGTGAAAATAAAACAAGTTTGAGCTGTGGGAGATATCGGGTAAGAGTTCTATTAGCAAGGAGGAAAGCATTTATTCTTCAAGTATTAATTAATTTTATACACTTTGTATATTTAATTTACAAGAAAAAACATGTATCGACTTATTTTATTTTGACAACATTACTCTCTGGCTTAGACTGATCTATGAAAATATGATTCAAAATCACATGCCTGATACGCAGTTTACGTAAAACAAAAACAAGATTCAAGCAACAACAAAAACAAAACAGCAACAAAAAAAAAAAGTAAATCGGCAAGTGCCTTTTCCACAATTAAGGTTGGTTGCAAAAGATATCCTTTAATTGCAGTTCCTCGCTGTAGGGACATCTGCCAAAAAAACTCCACGTCTATAATTTTGAATCTTTGAATAACTCAAACCTAAGTCCTAAAAGAAAACATGGCAACACTATTCTATTCTATGAGGCAATCAGAGTTCGCGTGAAAAAATATTATGTTATAGAAACAATGAACTGCATCCAAGAGCTTCTCAAACTTTCCGCGTCTTAGTAAACTGCTGTTTAAATGCAGTCACATTTAGATTTTCTGGTAAAGTAGTTCAATCTCTATGTTCCCGATTTATCATTTGATGAATTGGAAGTTTACATAAATCCATACATCACTGACATTGATATACTTCATCTGTCTTTAAAACAAGGGTAACAACTGAGTTAAAGTGTATTTCAGGAACTAAAGAAGATGTCACATTTTAGGCTTGGATATCCGGGGGAAAAGTTAAAGGAATGGGGTATGCAGTATCCTGAATTGTAAGTTCACGTGGCCAGATTAGCTGTAAATGTACCTTTCCAATCTTTCTCTACATACTTTTGTGAATTCGGATTTTCAGCTTTCCGAGTTGCCAGAAGGGTATGGATTGTGATCTCCATTGTGCCTTGTCTAACATGAGACCAACAAATAGCAGAAATCATCAAGATAAAACATTGGTAACCATCATATTGATATTTGGACACTTACCAGTTGTTGGTGATTCTTTTATTATATATCAATGTTGGTGATTGTTTCTTGTGTTATATATAATTGTTGTTGATTGTTGCTTGTGTTATATATCATTGTTTTTGATTGTTTCTTGTTTAAATATCATCAAGACAACACAGAGCCAAACATTGCATGGATATTTGGACTCTAAATTACTAGTTCCTGGTGATTTTTTGACATTTTGATTTAACCTAAAGTTTTTCTCCAAGTTCCCATTAACAGTGCTTTGGATGTATCTTTCAATCCCTCTCATTTATTCACATTTTATTTATCTAATTTGTGGCGGGATAGGGGAAGAGGGGGTCCTTGCTATATAATTAAAAGAGGAAAGAGAGAAGGGGTGGGTGGGATGTCGGGGGGCTTACAAAAAAGTCAGAAAACACTTATATAAATAGATACGAACAGATACTTTTGAAGATAATTTGTGGACTTGCCTTGTCTCATTTCTAATTATGGAGAGAAAAGGGGGACGGCTCAACCTCCTAACTTTAATACACATTTTTTGTTTGCAGTGGGATTGAGGGGGGGGGGGGGGGATGAGGGAGTATATAGTGGGTCCCTCAAGCTTCCTTATCATGCAGTTTGCGGAGCTCCTGTCTGCCACGTGCTACGTGTTGTTAAAGTAAAAAGCAAAGAAAAGGATAACCTCCACGACGTGAGGCTTATATGGTGCTTTGACTGCCGCAGATCTCCGTAGAGCAGTCTGTACTGATGAGTGATCCTGAATATTTCCTTATGCAGGTTAGACGATCCACAAGGAAGTAGGTCAATGTAAACAAATTCCTCCCCTCGGAAAAGGATCTAAACGCAAGACTATCAGGTAGTCAGACAATTGTGGTAGCCACAAGCCTCCATTTCAATAGAAGTCTCTTATTTCGAAAACCACACCCTGATTCACACAGACACGTGTGGTACACAATAAAAGATGTGGCACTACAAAGCTACCATAAAGAAGAGACAAGAAAACAATATTTTTTCTACACAAGCTGAGATCATAATGCTAACCAAAGCTCACCAAAGAACAATGTAAACAAGATCCAACGTGTGTTTTCTGTTATATTCAACCAACAAACAATAGAATCTAGAGTTAGTTCCCCTGTAATACACTGCATGGCTACAGTGATTGATTATGAAACGGTAGGGGTGTTGACACAATCCAGTAGTCATTGGGGAAAATGAGGAAACAAACATTGAATCCACTAGATACAGATGAGTGTGATCCAAATTTAGGTGAAGCAAACCTTTCATGAATTTCGTTGTTCAAATGTTACTGCCAAAGAGTTCCGCAGGAAATATAGGAAAAAAGACTGTCACTGCTGGAGAAAAAAAAACAACATCCAGAAGTCTGAACGGCAACCGTGTAAATTGACGACTTTAACAGTGACGATTATATCTTTTCTGCTGTAGACTCCGATTGAAAGTTCTGGTTGTTCGTTCATTTCTGGACTTTAGTCTTCACATAAAATCTGAGTTTTGCGTGCACATCTGATTTACAGATGTGGCTTAATTATAACCAGACCGTTGGTTCCTCGCCTCTCAGACAGATGCACTCCGATTTACAAGGAAACACTCCGATTTAGAAGGAAACACCCCGATTTACAAGGAAACACTCTGATTTACAAGGAAACACTCCGATTTACAAGGAAACACTCCGATTTACAAGGAAACACTTCGATTTACAAGGAAACACTCCGATTTACAAGGAAACACTCCGATTTACAAGGAAACACTCAGATTTACAATGAAACACTCCAATTTACAAGGAAACACCCTAATTAGTCGACATTATCGACATGCTTCCTGTAAGAATGTTATCCCTACATCCTTTTTTTTGTTATTTGAAGCCCCACTCTGGCTCTTATTAGGGGCCGCAAAAAAGGCAGGCCATAAATGTGGCCAATTGTCTGAACGCGGCGTCTGGGACCTCTCCACGGTGATCCTCGCCCACACAGTGGCACTCTGTGTCATCGGATGTTTGTCGTTTGTGTGATGTCCTGGTGGGGTAGAAAGTCAGTCAGTGAGTCTGTAACAATGGTTCTTGCCACACGTCAGGACTTCCCATAAGTGTGTATGCGCAATCTCTCCATACATTTGTTGTACTATGCTGATGAAGGAATATAAGGAAATAATATTGATCGGCTATTGTTGAATTAGAAAGGTGAAGTTTATTTAATACAAGGAATGTGTCAATACTATAAGGTTATTGGGTACAAGTTTATTTAATACAGGGAATGTGTCACTACTATAAGGTTACTGCCTGCATACACCTTGCCAGATGTATATATTTGATAACGAACAATTGAACATATTGTAATAATTTGTGTGTGATTCGTTTACCGTATCAACGCACTGTGACAGGTCGTATTATTTCTTGACATGAGATTGTTTACATTAAATAACTGTTTTCAGTTAGCAAGTTACGAAGGTGTGGATAAAGGTTTCTATGGCAAGTTTCTTGCATGACCATCTACCGTCACATTGTCGATGCAATATAAGTAAGTAAAGGACCCTTTTCCACGCCCTTAGGTGTATAGGGCATATAGGGCTAGGCCTATATTTTATAGACCAATCAGCACAAGATGGGTGATGTAGTCAGCATCACGCCGGCCGCCTTTACTTCCCAGGACAGCACCCGGTACCCACTCAAAGCTGGGTCGACCTGGGATCCAAATTCATTTTTAAAAAAGTCAGGCTCCGCCAGGAAGCGAACCCACAATCTTCCGATCCGTGGCGACCGTCTAGCCGCTCCGCCACTGCAACTCATCGGTACAATGTATTGGTAGTAAGTGACCCTTTTTACTTAGTGGCCCATTTGACATATAATGCTGTAGTCTATTCCAAAAGTCGTGACCAACATTATAAATCTGTGGTTATTAAAATTTGGGCATGCAACCTGCTAACAATCGTGTCTTTGTAATCATATTTTAGTGTGTAAATGGCAACAAACATGTAGATTTTTTTTTCTTTGAGTATGTGAAAAACTTACACCAATTCAAAGCATCGTCTTCTTCTTCCTTAGGTCTTCTTTTACCGATTCGAGTCTCGGGGGACATATAAGTCCATTTTCGTCCTCTTCTGGCTCTTATATACTCATCGTGGTGCTGTAGAGTTTCTGTTATCGTCCCATCATGTTCTTGGTCTACCTAAAAAAACACGTCCCTTTCCTCTTTTCGTATAGGCATTGTATTGTATAGCATCAGAAGACACTATAAGTGGGCAAACCATTTGATTTGCTGTCTTTATATGCAATTTGGAATTGGTTCTGTGCAGACTTTATCTTGTATAACCTTATTCTTGATTTTATCTTGTCTGGTCACTCCTACAACCTTTCTCAGACACTTCATATCCATGGTTACTAATTTGTTTGATCTTTTGGTGTGACTGAACAAGTGTGGTGCTGATAGCAAAGGGTAGGAATGAATATGCTTTCTATGAGATGTTTGTGTGTGCTGATTGGGATTTCCTTATGCTGTAAGAGGGGAGCTAACTGTCCAAATTCTTCGTCTGCTTGACTGCATGTCAGGGGGGTTCACGAGGACATGGGACAGTTCAGTGTGATGATGATGAATCAGGTATGTTGGGGATTGTGACTCCTGACTAAACTCAGGGCATTTTCAAACAGTCCGATACACGGAGAAATCTGTGTTGGCTGAACGAGGCGTGCTGAACGTCCTCGGACTTCACAAAGTCTCCATTGGACACTGAACTCTGAGAGTTCAACAAAACGACGGCGAAACACACAGATCGCGACTCTTCGCAAAAGACTTGTGTGACGTGGACGTTGTTTTGACCCGGCCGTTAGATTGTTCTAGTTCATTGACAAGTTGTAATGACCTGTTGAAATGTGGCCTGTCAGATGTTAGCTGAGCTTCGTACCGTCTGGTGTTTGACTAAATGTGTTTAGTATTCTACGGTGTAGGTTGTAACTGTTTCATTTAGATCGCACTCAGAAGTTAGATTCAGGATCGCAGTTATACTTTGTCAGTAGTG